GTAGCTCCGTTAAGGGCGCAGAAATTATTACTGCTTATGATGCAAAGAAGTATGCGACATTGCACAATTGTCGTTAATGGTTTATTCATTCCATCGTTTGAGGGATTTGCAACGGTAAAATTTGGGTAACATTCCTTTATTAAATATTTTCTTTAAATTTTTTATAACTGGTTTTATATTATTTAGCTTGTAAGCACGTCAATTTCATACTTTGCGATAATTTTTTCCCTCTTTTAATTATCTACATAAAATGAAGAAATGAAGTTTAAAACGCCACGAAACAAATTATGACATACTTATTAGCATACGTTCTAAATAAGAATATTATAATAATAATACAGATGCAATTATAGTCTACTTTAGTTTAAGAGTATTTATATTGCTGTACGTAGAATAAAAATATAATGTCGTATTATTAATATTATTTCGTCTTTCTGATTGCTTTTCCATAGAATGTGATTACACTACCATCGCGTTTTCTATTATATTCGCAATAACATAAAAAAAAAATGCTTTCTATTCTTATAATAATTTTAGTGTAAAACATGAACGTGAAAGTGAAATTACATCAGAAAAATGATATTTTTGGTAGAATTATAAAATTAAACGATTCTAAGAAAATATCAATCCATGTTATAAGATAATATTATTACTATTATTTTTAATATTTATAAAATATATTTATATTCCAACAATTTAATCTTAATAACACGGAAACTAATTTAATAGTAATAGTAATTATTATTTAATAAAAATTTTTCATTGTTTAACATGTTTTAAGCCTAATTACAGTACAACTAATAGATAAATTGTATCAGTAGTTATGACACCTTGGAAAATTAATTCAAGATTTTTGTATAATCCACAATCAATTTTCACAATATAATTTTTACAATGTTTGTCAGGAAGACGCACAAAAAATTTTCAATGATTATAATAGCACAGTGATTTTTCTAGTTAATTAGGAATGCTGTTAATGCATTAGCACTCACATATCACAAAAAAAGCACCGCAACGTTCTGCGTCTCGAATAGAAATGAAGACCGTTCGTCACTCGTGAAAGCACAATTTTATCAATGCGCTTGCGTCGATCGAATGTAGAAAAGCGAAATATTTTCATACATTTTCGCGGAAAAAAAGTAATTGGTTCATGCAAATAATGTTTATCTGAGGATTATTGATATAGACTGCTGCCAAATATCCATCAAAACTATAATTTGCATAATTACAGTAAACTATAGATACTCTATTGCAATTTTTCATATAAATTCAGTATTTTATTTAAATACATATGAATTGCGAATTATAAATTACAGTCAAACATACAGAACCTATGAGGTAACTTGTGGAAAGAAATTCGGCACAAACACATTATGACATTTGCATTAAGATGGCAAGATTGTCCGGTAAACAGTTACTATACAATTAATCGGAGTTTGTTACTTTGTATCGGATTATGGCCGTATCAAAAATCTACTTTTAGATATATCGCCATAGCGTTTACAACAATAATGCTTATATCGAGTGTGGTATTACAGGTACAATAATTTTTTATATGTTATTAATTTTTCGAGCACTACTTAACATAAAAATTAGTAAAACGAAGTACTAAAAGATATTAATGCATAATTATTCTCAATAAAAAAAAATAATATCTTTGTGTTAAATTATAACAAAATTCTAATATATTTAATAATATTTAAACAAAAGTTATTTGTAGTCTTTATTTTGAATAATTTTTTTGAGGCTATTTTCACCAAAATAATTATACTAGTTTACAGTAAAAAATACTTTGAACCAAATAAAATTTTTGTATATTTTTTTTATTTAATTATAAATAATGCCGCAAGCCAAATTTTATGAGCACATCATTTACGAAATAATTGAGATTTATTGTGAAAAAGTAGCAACATTTTTTTATAAAAAAGGTTGACATTGTCTTGAAATTCTAATTAGAAGTCATGAATTAGAAGTCATGTATTATTCATTTCCTATACAATTTTTTATTATTTTAATTTTCATTAGTCATATAAAGTACCAGATTTTTCTGAGGTTGCTTTTCGTTTATGAATAAAATTATGTCTATTTAAAACTTCTAATTTGGTTATCGACATATAGTATAATTTATATCATGGTAGATTTCGATAAATATATATATATATATGCAATATATGTATGTAGTATATACACAAGTCTCATTTTAATTATCATCTCGAATATTTCGGAGAAATTCATTTAAAAAAAAATATTATAGACAAAAACTATATCTGTATTAACCTTAACTAAAAATTATAATATATATATACATATATATATATGACTTCATTGTTACAAATGGAAATTTAATACCTTATTATTAGAAAAACCCTGTCCTTAAACCTTTCATAGCATGGATAAAAAATAAGATATTAAAATTTTTGTATGTACTTAATAAGAAATAAATACATTCATGGTTTTTGATCAGAATATTAAGACAATATGTGTCTTAAAAAAAGATGCAAATAATGTAAAAAAGCTATTTTTAGCATATCATATCTCAAATATTTCGGAAACTTGACATATTGATGAAATTTGGCTTGCAACATCACTTTTAGCATTCAAAAATTTATACCAAATATCTTTGGTCGAAGTAATTAAGAAAAATCATTTTCTTGTTAATTAATAAGTTATTATTACTGTAAAAGTCGAAACAATATATCGAAGACTGTCACTTTTAGCTAACAACTTTCATCACATCAGAATACAATGTAGATATTCTTCTACATGTCCTCGCGTACAGCATTCTATGGATAGCCTATATATTAAAATATAGTATTGTCTGCCTAAACATAAGACGGGTAAAAGTATTGGAAATCAAACTTATAGTGAAATTTAAGAAAAAGAAAATAATAATTATTAATTTTATTTAAGATATTTTCGGAAAGAGATAGTAAATAACATTTATTTTATGAACACAGATGTGGGATCTTATGAAACGAATACTTTGTGATTGGAATGAATTAAATAATTTGCAAGAAATTAAAATAATAAAAGAATATGCAGATATTGGAAGATTCATCACATTAATTGTAACATGTAAACAACATTTTGAACATTTATTTCGTACTCTAGATTCGATCACCTTAATTCAGATTTTAATTGTTTAATTACAGTGTTTGCCTATGTATCCATTTTTTTGTTCATTTTGATACAGTTTCTATCAAATTTTTTACTTAATACCACATCTGATAAAAATATATCCCATCGACAGTTCCCAATCCTAATTGAATGTTTTATAGATCAACAAAAATATTTTTTCCAAATTTTGTTTTTTATTTGTTTTGTTGCTGTATACGGTTTCACTATGGTGATAGCTACCGAAACGATTAATATGTCTTACATATATCATGCGTGCGGTTTATTTGAAATAGCCAGGTAAAGCAAAGTTATATTTTTCAAGAAATTAAATTAATTTTAACAGTATTTACGGTATACAAAAACTTATTACACTTACATTATCAATTGCAGCTATCGCATAGAACAAACATTGTTCGAAAATGCGATACAAAGTATTGCATCTTCTTCCAAACAAAGTTCGATAATGTATCAAGGGATAATCAATGGATTCAATATGTATAGAAAAGCAATCGAGTTCGTAATTATCATATGTACAATTAGAAATTTTTTTTTATTGTGCATTGTGATTTCTCTTTGAATCTTCTGTACTTGATTCCATAGACTTTGAAATTTTATGAAAAGTATAAATTATTGACACATGTAACTGACAAATATAAGTCGAATAAATCAATACATATAATAAAAGTAGTTATTTGTAGTCTTTTATATAAATATATTTTCTTTATGCATATTTAAGATTTACTATTATTTAGATTTATTGAAATGTTGAAAACAAATTATATATGGCAGTATTCATTGTTATTGCCATTAGGAATATTATCATTGAGCATTAATCTTTATCGCGTGAGTAATAATGTACATTTATTTAATATTACATATGTCGTGTATATGTATAAGGGAGACCGAAGTCAGTTGAATATAGGAGTAAGTAGAATAATCGAGGCTACATTAAAAACAAAACACGCGAGAACAAACATGCGTAAATGTATCTGAGCACGCAGCAGCGACTACCGCTGAATGTGCTGTAACATCTTGTTGCGAATATCTATGATAGAAATTATGCCACAATTTTAAAAAATCGTACACCTAAGTAAATATTTTTATTCTTGAAGTTTTTGTTTTACTATCGTATATGATTGTCTGAGATATTTGATTCCTATTTAGATAGTAAGTATAGTTCTTACTTAATAAAGTCCAATAGATTTTTGTGTCTTTGTTATCGTATATTGTTAATGTTTTTAAGAAATGAACGGATGGGGATAGTAGACTAATCATAGCATGGAACTGTATGACTTATTTAGTGACGACTTTTATAATACTTACTCAAAATTTTATTCCTTTAAAGAGATTTTCCTCGATAGTAAATGTTATATATGTTTAGTTCCCTCATATCCAATCTCGAAAACTAGGCTTATTCGACGTGTTTTTGCACGAAATGAACAAATTTTGCGAAAGAAAGTATTGTTTGCCCTGCGAAGCGAATGTTTGTATGTAAAATATATTTTTATAGAAGTTTTATTAATATTTAGCCAAAGATGTAACTTAAAATACATTAATCTTTATTTTAATAATTTTAGTCGAATTACCCCGATCGCAGGGCTAGTTGAATCAGATGGAATGCATTAGAAAAATGCATTTTTTTCATTTTAGTTATCAGTTTCCCATTATTATTAAAGTATTATTAGATAGATCAAATGTAATAACTAGTGTAGAATTCATTTTTTCGATAAATTTTGTCTCTTAATTTTGTCTATAAAAATACGAAACTAAAAATGAGTCTATTAGTCCCGGTCTCCCCTACTTTGATTAAATATTTTATCTGTATTTCTTCCCTGTGAAAGAAAATTAATCATTTTTGTACTGTAGCTTTCTCAGTTGATAACATCCAAGAAATATTACGAAATGATGGTTAGTTTTCTGTTTGTCTCTAATCATTTTTGCTACATGTTTTTCTGTAACTATTTGGGACAAAAAGTGATCGATCATAGCAGCGATATTTTTCATAGAATGTGCGTAACATATATCAACTTTTAATTGATTACATCAGTATGATTTTAGAAATTCTTTTATTATCTAGAGCTGTTTGTTTTGTCTATATGAGAATATTAAATATAAGTAAAACGAACATTTTATCACGCGACTATAGTAAAGAATGAAAAACAAATTAATCTATAATGTATCAGGGTTTTTTTAGTTATGATTTTCTAATAATAAACTTGTAGATACAACGTACAATGGTATGTAGCTCCGTTAAGGGCGCAGAAATTATTACTTCTTATGATGCAAAGAAGTATGCGACATTGCACATTTGTCGTTAATGGTTTATTCATTCCATCGTTTGAGGGATTTGCAACGGTAAAATTAAAACGGGTAATAATATTCTTTTATTAAATATTTTCTTTAAATTGTTTATAACTGGCTTTATATTATTTAGCTTGTAAGCATGTCAATTTCATACTTTGCGGTAATTTTTTCCCTCTTTTGATTATCTGCATAAAATGAAGAAGTGAAGTTTAAAATTCCACGAAACAAATTATGACATACTTATTAGCATACGTTCTAAATAAGAATATTATAATAATAATACAGATGCAATTATAGTCTACTTTAGTTTAAGAGTATTTATATTGCTGTACGTAGAATAAAAATAAAAATATAATGTCGTATTATTAATATTAGCTTGTCTTTCTGATTGCTTTTTCATAGAATGTGATTACACTACTATCCCGTTTTTTACTATATTCGCAATGACATAAAAAAAAATGCTTTCTATTCTTATAATAATTTTAATGTAAAACATGAACGTGAAAGTGGAATTACATCAGAAAAGTGATATTTTTGGTAGAATTATAAACTTAAACGATTCTAAAGAAAATATCAACCAATGTATAAGATAATATTAGATGTTGGAATTAATTCGTAGCGTTTTTTAATGAATGAATGTTATTTATTTCACATGAGCATTAAAAAATACATTAATGAAAGTACTTCCCATCACTTGTAAAACGCTACGAATTAATTCCAACACTTAATATAATATTATTACTATTATTTTTAAGATTTATAAAATATATTTATATTCCTACAATTTAATCTCAATAACACGGAAATAATTTAATAGTAATAGTAATTATTATTTAATAAAAATTTTTCATTGTTTAATATGTTTTAAGCCTAATTACAGTACAACTAATAGATAAATTGTATCAGTAGTTAACAGCTTGGAAAATTAATTATGGATTTTTGTATAATCCACAAACAATTTTCACAATATAATTTTTACAATATTTGTCAGGAAGACGCACAAAAAATTTTCAATGATTATAATAGCACAGTGATTTTTCTAGTTAATTAGAAATGCTGTTAAAGCATTAGCATACACATATCACAAAAAAAGTATCGCAACGTTCTGCGTCTTAAATAGAAATGAAGACCGTTTGTTACGCGTGAAAGTGCAATTTTACCAATGCGCTTGCGTCGATCGAATGTAGAAAAGCGAAATATTTTCATACATTTTCGCGGAAAGAGGTAAATGGTTCATGCAAATAATGTTTATCTGGGGGTTATTGATATAGACATTAGCCAAATATCCATCTAAACTATAATTTGCATAATTACAGTAAGCTATAGATACTCTATGGTAATTTTTCATATAAAATTCAGTATTTTATTTAAATACATACGAATTTCGAATTACAAACTATAGTCAAACATACAGAACCTATGAAGTAACTTGTGGAAAGAAATTCGGCACATAACCGTCATGACACTTGCATTGAGATGGCAAGATTATCCGGTAAACAGTTACTATACAATTAATCGGAGTTTGTTACTTTGTATCGGATTATGGCCGTATCAAAAATCTACTTTTAAATATATCGCAATAGCGTTTACAACGATAATGCTTGTATCGATCGTGACATTACAGGTACAATAATTTTTTATGTCCTATTAATTTTTTGAACATTATTTAACATGAAAATTATTAGTAAGAAGACACTAAGTACACTAAAAGATATTAACACGTAATTAAAAGAAGATACTCCTTTTGTGTTACATATGTTAAATTATAACAGAAAATTATTGTATAATAAATTTAGTAATATTTAAACAAATGTTATTTGTATTCTTTATTTTGAATAATTTTTTTGAGGATATTTTTACCAAAATAATTATACTAGTTTATAATAAAAGATACTTTGAACCAGACAAGGTTTTTTTTTAGATTTTTGATCTAGTTAAAAATGAATGGCCACAAGTCAAATTTTATCAGCACATTAGATTTACAAAATAATTGAGATTTAGTGAAAAAGTAGCAATATTTTTTTATAAGAAAAATTAACATTTTCTTGATATTCTAATTAAAATTTATGAATGTATTGTCCATCTCCAATACAATTTTTTAATATTTCAATATCATTTTAACCATGTTAATTACTATACTTTTTAAAAATAGATTTCGTCTATGACGATAAAATCATATCTACTTATAACTTCCAGTTTGTGGCTATCGACGTATAGTATAATTTATATCGTGGTAGATTTTAATAAATAATTTAGTGTCCGACTTTCATCGAAACTAAACCGAAACACTCGGCTACATGTCATTTCAACCGAAATCTAAACTAAAATTAAAAAATAGTATCCTATAACGGCCATATGTATATACATATACATGTAGCCCATATATCATATATTTCTTCATAAATATCATAATTTGTTGAAATAGCAATTAAGTTTCGAAATCAAATACCGATATTCCGATTATATGTTAATTTTGATTAAAAAATATAAATACTTCTTTTTTATAAACATCATTAATTATCGAAACATTAATTACAAATATTAAAATTAATATTTATGAAAAAAATTTATATAGTTTCAATTGAAACGAACACGTTATGAGTGTTCGTTTTAGTTTCGGTAAAAGTTTGGACTCTAATAAATATATGTATATACATATATATATATATGTATACACATATATATATACACATATACTTATATATATACAGTATATATACATATATATAGTATATATACGGGTCTCATTTTAATTATTGGCTATTTTGAATATCTCGGAAAAACACATTAAGAAAGAAATATTATGCACAAAAATTGTATGATTTGTGTATCAACCATAACTAGAAATTATAATTATATGACTTTATTGTTATAGATGGAAAATTTATTATCTTATTAGAAAAACGCTGCCATTAAATCTTTTATAATATATATTTTATGGTTAAAAAATGAGATATTAAAATTTTTTTTAATGCATTTTATAAGAAATAAATACGTTCACACATAGCTTTTAATCAGAACATCAAGATAACATGTGTCTTTAAAAAAAAAAGATAAATAACTCTTAAAAAAAATTATTTTTATATACTATTTAATATTACATCTCAAGTATTTCGGAAACCTGACGTACTGAAATTTGGCTTGCAACGTCGTTTTCAGCGTTCATCTAATCTAAAATAAAAATCTAAAAGAAATATCTTGTTTGATCCAAGTAATTAAAAAAACATTTTTTTATTAACTTCTAAGTTTTATTGTTAATATAAAAGTAGAAACAATATAACAAAGAATGTCATTTTTAGCTAACGACTTTCATCACAACAGAATACAATGTAGATATTCTTCTGCATGTCCTCGCGCATAGTGTTTCATTGCTAGGCTATACGTTAAAATATAATGTTCTCTGTCTAAACATAAGACGAGTAAGAATCAAACTTATAGTAAAACTTACAGGAAAAGAAAATAATAATTATTAATTTTATTTAAGATATTTTCGAAAAAAGATAGTAAATAACATTCATTTTGTCAGCACAGGTGCGAGAGCTTATGCAACGAATACTTTGTGACTGGAATGAATTGAATAATTTGCAAGAAATTAAAATAATAAAAGAATATGCAGATAATGGAAGATTCATCACATTAATTGTAACATGTAAGCAATATTTTGAAAATATTTATTTCGTACACTAAATTCGATCACTTTCAGATTTTAATCGTTTAATTACAGTGTTTATCTACATATGTGTTTTTTGCGGCATTCTGATACTATTTCTGTCAAACCTTTTTTTGAGTATCACATTTGATAAAAATGAGTCCCATCCACGACAGCTGCCAATCCTAGTTGAATGTTTTATAGATCAACAAAAATATTTTTTTCTATTAGGTGTTGGAATTAATTCGTAGCGTTTTTTTAATGAAAGAATGTTATTTATTTCACATGAGCATTAAAAAATACATTAATGAAAGTACTTCCCATCACTTTCTACTACTTTTGACCATCTTTCGGGCAGTGAATGAATACCGCGTCGGAAGAACTGTTCATCTTTAGATGAAATCCAGGAATCGAACCATTTTGTACAATCTTCGTAAGATGTGAACTTCTGCTCGCACAAGCTATGAGCTAATGATCGAAACAAGTGGTAGTCGCTAGGTGCAATATCAGGAGAATACGGCGGGTGCGGTAGCACTTCCCATTTAAGTGTTTCCAGGTATGTTTTTACCGGTTTTGCAACGTGTGGGCGAGCATTGTCGTGCAGCAAGATGACTTTATCGTGTCTTTCGAAGTATTCCGACCGTTTTTGCTTCAATGCACGGCTCAAGCGCATCAGTTGCCGTCGGTAGAGATCTCCAGTAACGGTTTCATGCGGTTTTAGCAGTTCGTAGTATATGACACCCTTCTGATCCCACCAAATACAGAGCAGGAGCTTTGAGCCATGGATATTGGGCTTTGCCACTGATGTTGATGATTCGCCGGGCTTAACCCATGACTTTCTGCGCTTTGGATTGTCATAATGGATCCACTTTTCGTCACCGGTAACAATCCGATGCAAAAAACCTTTTCTTTTCTGCCGTTGAAGCAGCAGTTCGCACGTGAGAAAACGTCTCTCAATATCCCTTGGTTTCAATTCATATGGGACCCAATGTCCTTCCTTCTGGATCATGCCCAAACTTTTAAGACGTTTTCCTATTGTTGAGAAGTCAACTTCCAATGACGTAGATAATTCTTTAAGTGTTTGACATAAGTTTTCATTGAGCAGTGCCTGCAAATCGTTATCTTCAAATTTTTTCGGCTGACCAGGTCGCTCCTTGTCATCCAAGTCGAAATCACCAGCTTAAAACCGTGCAAACCACTTCCTACACGTTTGCTCAGCCAGAGCATGTTCACTATACACATCCACTAAAATACGATGAGCTTCAGCTGCACTTTTGTTCATATTAAAGTAATGAAGCAAAACGCCCCGCAATTTTCTTTGTTTTGCTGCCGTATGCGCTTTTACTGTAATTATAGCAACCGGAACGATCGCTATGTGTTACATATATCATGCGTGCGGATTATTTGAAATAGCCAGGTAAAGCAAACGTTTTCCAAAAAATTAAATTAATTTTAATGTTTAGACCAAAACAGGTGTTGCGGTTACGTTATCAATTTTAGCTATCGCATAGAACAAACATTGCTCGAAGATACCATATAAGATATTGCAGTTTCCGAAAGAAGTTCAATA